ACTCTCTGGAGGCTTCAAAGACAGGGGGAGATCTCTCAGCCTTGCTCTGGGGAGAGGCAAGCACCCCTGCCAGGTTTCAGCCGCAGGTGTGGCCCGGCTTGCCCCATTCTTAGGCACTGGTTCTCTTATGCAAAGGAAGGAAACAGGAGGCTAGCTGAATGTTTGAGGATGGGCAATGGAGTAGGGAGCAGAAAAGGAGTAGTTTGAAATAAGCCCAGAAAGACTGAGAAAGTGGGCAAAGAAGGGGAAGGGAAGGCAGACTGCCTATCCACCCAATGCCCCCCCCCCTGCCCTCCCCACTCTCCCTCCATCCTCCTCCACCCCTCATCCCCTATCCCTGTCCCTGATCTGCATTTCCCTTCATCTGCTCCCAGCTCACCTTCCCCACTTCCCTTGGTCTCACCCATTATCCTCTATTCCCAAGCTTGTTGGCAGAGCAGAATAGTGGAAGGTAGGGGAGGGGGGGAGGAGGGGAGGCCAGCGTTTTATTAGGCTGTTGAATTTGATTTATTAGGGGGGAAAAATCCTTCACTTTCTTGCCACACAGGTTATTCTCAAAGTGAAAACTCTATTTTACTTTGAAAAAAAAAAATGGCGAAAGTGCCTACAGTTATGAATGGAGCTCTTTGTTACCTTCCAGATCGACAAGACAGACGTTTGGTTCATGTCTGTGCACTAGCAAAGGAGTGCGGGGGCCTGGGAGACAGATGTGGCCTTAATTGCATGGAAATATTAGAAGATCGTTAAGCCATTTTGACAGGATTTTCCTCTTGCTGCAGGAGCAAAGGGCCATGTCTGAGCTGCATCAAGCCTGGCCAGACCATCTGACTGGGCCTCTCATCCCCATGTGTGAGGGATACCTGGGCCTTGATTCACTTGCCCTGATAGTAGAAGGGAATAGATTCCTCCTTGTCATTGGCTCTTACCCCTTGTCGGTTCCCCATAAGTGCAGAGAGCAAGTGTCCTAAGAAACCTTCTGACCCATAGTGGGGGTCGGAAAAGAAGCTGTCTATTGAAATGGTTTCATACAGGTGCCCCTCAAGTTATGGTGGGGTCATAGCCCAATAAATCCACTGTAAGCTGAAAATGCATTTAATACCCCTAACCTACCAAGCATCCTAACTTAGCCATACATTGCAATGTCCAGTCTCAGTTGTTCCCCTTGGGATCATGTGACTGATGGGAGCTGTGGCTCACTGCTGCTGCCCAGCATCTTGAGAGTGGTGGTGTCACATATCACTAGCCTGGCAAAAGATCAAAATTCTAGACTCTGAGCATAGTTTCTGCGAAGGTATATGGGTTGTGTTTGTTGTGTTCAAGACCATCTTTATCTGAGAATGTGTGTATACGTGTGTGTGCCTCAGTGGAGAGTATTCAGATTGTCTCCAGACTGAAAGGTGTGTTCCGCAAAGCTCCTGGGGGACCCAGGTAGGCCTGAAAAAAAGAACCTATTACTACAACAAATAATAGTGTCCTGAAGACAAGGTCATGAACATGAGGACCCCAGGATGACACTGATGGCTTTCTAAGAAGAGGAAGAAAGACCTGAGTTAGCACACTTACTGTCTCACCATGTGATGCCCTAAGCCAAGTTGTGATGTAGCAAGAAAACCCTATTTCTATTTGACTCTTCTCTTGACCCTTACTTTATTTAGTGGTTATGAAAGTCATGGTCTTTGGGAGTCTGGAAATTGGGTCAGGACAATTCTTGAACAAATGTTGCATTGTCAAAGACAAAGACCCCATAAATATGGCCAACCTCATTTCTCCTAGACTGGCCTGGTCATTTCCCCCCATATATTCTGTCCTCCTTTTTTCCTACTTAAGCCAGTAAGTTTTCTGAATGCATAAAAAAAGCAAATATTTTAACATTAGCTTAAATTAACAGTAATAGGAAGGTTAATCTGCTGGGAGAGAGGAGTAGGTACTCCAAAACTATAGTTCAGTAATACCTTTGGGTTATAAGAATAAATAGTCTGGATTAGATCTTTCTCAATTAGATAAGACAATGTACATGATTGGTAGTTGGAGTGGATTAGCATGACATCATCCTCCTTTCTGAGGGGTGGATAGACTAAAGCATCCTAAGGGTCAAGGATCACTTCTTAGGCTTGGGGTGGTGAGTGGTTGCTTAGATCATGTGTGGGCCATCTCATAGGGGTTGGATCTAGGTGATCAGTAAGGATAGTGGGTGAAGAAAGAAGAAGGAGGGAATGTGAAGCAGCTGAGATCCTGTTTTCCTGCAAATGTTGTTAACCCAAAGGGGAAAGGGGAAGCACTATGCGCCATAGTTAGCATTCCAGAATCCCCAGGCTGAGCAAGCTAAAACTGCTCTTTTCCTAAGGGCTTCACCTTTGTTAAGGAGTAGAGAGCCTCCTGTCGATGAGTCAGTCACTTCACTCACTCAGACTCAGGCTCTGGAACTTGAGTCACCAGCCCATCAGGCATCTTACTACAGGATCTTACCTCTGCCCTTCCAGATTACTCCAGATCTAAAGAACTGTTTTAGGTCCCTGCAGTGAGAGCCAAAACATTGTGCCCAATAGAGACAGTGCCTTAGAAATATCCCTTTGATGGTGATAAGTTCAGTGCCTATTTTAATCCATTTTCTGTTGTAACTTTTTTCTGTTGCTATAACTTAATGCCGTAGGTTGGGTAATTTATAAAAAAAAAATAGTGATTTATTTCTTACAGTTCTTCAGACTAGAAAATTTAAAAGCAAGTTACCAGAATCTGCTCAGCATCTGCTGAGGGTTTTCTTGCTACATCACAACTTGGCTTAGGGCATCACATGGTGAGACAGTAAGTGTGCTAGCTCAGGTCTCTCTTCCTCTTCTTAGAAAGCCATCAGTGCCATCCTGGGGTCCTCGTGTTCATGACCTTATTTAATCCTAGTTACCTCCCAAAGGATCCACTTCCATACCATTAATGTATGAATCTGGGCATTAAGTTGTCAACACATGAACTTAGGGGGTACATACTTAAACCATAGCAATCCCCTTCTTCTTGAGGTATGCTCTGTAGAAGATGGTGTGGCATGTTTGCCCAAGATCCTTGCTGGCTCTTTGTGACCAGGAAAGTCCCTTGGTCAATGAAGTGTTATCATTTCTGTTCAGTTTGCTGCCTTCTCCTCCTCTGAAATTCCCCTCCTTGGCAGTCAGTTGTGCCATCTCTCTATGTCATGTCTTGCCACCTTCTCATGAGGCGAGGGGTCAGCTGCCTGATTCGTTCTGAGATACCGCATTGCATGCCCTTGCTTCAGACAGTTTTGAAAGCTTATGGGAGGGTTGAGGTTGTGGTTCAGTGGTAGAGCACTTGCCTCACATATACTGGGTTCTATCCTCAGCACCACATTAAAAAAAAATAAGCAAAATAAAGGTATTATGTCCATCTACAACTAATTTTTTTAAAAAAAAATTAAGAATTTATGGGACATTAGCAATGCACCACTTTGATTTGTAAATACCTTATACTTTCCAGAGTGGTTTTGAGGACCTTCTTGTCATTTAATCCAATCTCCACAGATATCATAATTCCCGCTATATCTAATTCAGTCTCTTCCCCTCTCCCATTGTCACCTTTCAACCTGTGAGTACAGCCTGTGTTTATGTTTTAGTCAGTTTTTTTTTTCATCTTTGTAACTAAAAAGACCTGACAAAAACAATTAGAGGAGGAAAAGTTTATTATAAATAAACTTTGGGGCTCACAGTTTCAGAAGTCTCAGTCCATAGGTACGGGGCTCCATTCATTGGAGCCTGAGATGAGGCCAAACATCATGGCAGCAGTGAGTGGCTGAGGAAAGAAGCTGAGAACGTGGCACCAGGAAGGAGAGAGAGAGAGAGAGAGAGAGAACACAAAGACAAAATATATACTCAAAAGGCATGCCCCCAGGGACCCACCTCCTCCAGCCACACCCTTCCTGTCTATAGTTAACATCCAGTTAATTCCTATCAGGGGATTGATGCACTCATAACCTAATCATTTTACCTCTGAACTTTCTTGCATTGTCTTACACATAAACTTTTGAGGAACACCTCATATCTAAACCATAAGAGTTTACAGAGTAGATTTGCAAGGCCACTCCCTTGTCCAGAATAACCTTCTATACTCACAATATAACCCAGACATCTGTCACATAATAGTTCACTGCAGACATATAGCCACATTAGTGGAGGAAAAATTCCTATGTTTCTCCTAATCACCTCAGTATTCATGGGCAATTGGTTATCCTCTTGGATACCAAATTCAGTGGATAATCAAGTCCCTTTTATAAAATGACATAGTATTTGTCTATAGCCCACTCACATTCTGCTGTATACTTTTAAGTCATCTCTAAGTTACTTATAAGTACAACCTAAGTGCTATATAAGCAGTTGCTATATCATACTGTTCAGGAAACAATGACAAGAAAAGTCTGTACATGTTCAATATAGACACAGTATTTTTAAAAAATATTTCAAATATCTTTGAATCCACAGATGTAGAGTTTCACGGTGGATAAGGAGAAACAAATGTGATCAACAGATAGAATTAAAATTCTCCAGTACCATTTTTTTTAAATTGACATATTTCTGACTTTTATCACAGTGCCTGGCACACAGCAGGTATTCAATGAACGTCTGTACCAAGGATGAATTTTTTTGTATGACAAATATGTTTCATGATCTCTGTCTTTAACACACATGCAGTGACCTTTGCACATTTTCAGTAGCACACAGTCTGGCCACCAAATACGAGTGTGTAGAACCAATGCTGTTCAATATGGTACTCACTCATGACCTGTGGTTGTTTAAATGAACTAAAACTAAATGAGGTTTAAAATTAAGTTGCTCAGTCACATCAGCTATATTTCAAATGCTCAATTGTTACACAATTGAACTACTGGCTTCTGCAAGACAGTACAGATTTTTCAAATAGTTTCATCATTACAGAAATTTCCACCTGGCAGCATGTGTCTCTAGAAGATCAAATTAAAGAATTTAACTTTTTTTCTGTGGAAAAAGAGGTTTGGGTAATTTTTTATTGTTGTTTCTTAATTTTGATTTTATTGTAAGACTACTGCTGAAGATTATACATTTGTTGGTCTTTTCCAGAATCTTTTTAACATGTTTTAGAAAACATCCAGGCTAATGTTGGACTTGAGACCTTTCTTAGTTCAGGATTAGAAGAAGGAAGGGAGATCACAACATCCTCCATGGAAATTCTTGCTCCCACTGTTTCTCAAAACGGGCAGGATTGGAAAGGTTGTCACCATTGACTTTGGTCTTCTCATGAAAATCATCAGCCCCAAAGTGAACAGGAAAAATCTCAGTCATACAGAAAACCAAGTAGAAGTAGCAATATAAGAACTTGACAGCCTTCAACAGTGGGTCCTAAAGTAAATGAAAAAGCAGGGAAAAAAGCTAAGAAATTTTTTTTTTTTGCTAAGAAATTTTTTGATAAGGTTTGGGGCACTTCCTTAGGGCATCTCTACCTGGTAGGTTAGTTTCTAATTCCACATTAATTTTTGGAATGTCAAGGATTGACCCCCCCCCACCTCCTGCCACCATGAAATGTCCTTGAGACAGACAGAAATGGATTCTGCTGGGCAAAGCCAGTACTCCAAAAGCTTCCAAGAGTAGAACACTAAGTGCCCTTTATGAAGTAACTAAACCAGTCCCAAACTCCTAGGAACTGTCAGTGGGTTTTAGCTGGGTTTTCTGCTCAAATAGCTTTATTGAGATTGACAAAGAAAATATCTCCATGTAATCCCACTGAGATATTTTCATTGGAGGGCTATGGCAGGACTTGTTCACAAAATATCTACTTTTCCTATAGATGAATGTGGAGAGACAGGAGGCCCCTGTGCCAGACTGCCTAGGTTTGGCACTTAAGTCAAACAAGGATGAAGGCCAACTCAGTGGGCGACAGCTTCGAGAGTGACTGCCAGCTGAGAGACCAGCTGTGTACTGGAGATGGAGTCTGAGTTCCATGATGAGGGGATGCTTGGCTTCTTGTGTATAGACCAGGCTGTCCTTGCTTCCCCTCACCTACTCCCTGGAAGAGAGATGAAGAATGACAGGCGATAGACCCACAAAACTGAGGCATACTAAGATATCCAAGTTTGCTCATAGACAGGGTGACTGTATAATGCATCATTTACACTGGGGTAATTCTGAAGTCAAAGGAAGCACTGATGAGCATTTTCTAGAACAGTAGGCATAAAGTAGAACTGTTCTAGGCAAAGGGGCTTGTAGGATCCCTCCACCAGTAGACTTTAAGGTTGAAACCCTGGAAGGAATCTTGCAGATTGTCCAGCTCACTCCTTTTATGTTATAGGTAAGGAAACAAGTCCAGAGAGAGGATAAGTCTTTCCTATATTAGAACTTTATAGATTATAATAAAAAGATTATGTTTGGGGAGGGCTTACTTACTCATGTGAATGGCATGAGTTAGAATAGTGTTATTATCCCTATTTGACCAAAAAAGGAAATTGGGGCTCAGAGAGATTAAAGAACTTTCCTAAGGTCACAGAACTAACAAGTGGTAAATGCAGAGTTCAGATCCTGAGAGTCTGGCTCCATGGGCAATGTCTCAGATGACAGCATACCCTCTTTTCTCATAAGATGGCACAATGGAGGGCCCCTTTCATGTGTCAACTCTGTGGAAGTTAGGTCCTTGTGCCCATTTAATGGATGCAGAGACCAAGGCACACAGGTTGGAGGTGGTAATAATGTCTACAGAAAAACACAAAGAAAAACCAATCTTGAGGCATTTACAATGCCTCAGGTTGGAAAGACAGAAAATAAACGTATGGACAACTACAAAGTAAGTCAAGCGTTAAACAGAATGAAAACAATGTGACTTGGCAGTCTGGGATTGGAGTGCCACTGTGGTGCTGGAGGTAGAACACTCAGAACACTTTGGCAGAATGAGAGGCTCAGAGAGCGCAGGGAGGCTTCCTGGAAGAGGTGGCATGACTTGACATGGAGACAGTTTGGTGAATGAATGAGATCTGATCAGGCACAGGGGATGGAGAAAGCAATTCTATGAGGGGAAACCTGGAGTTAGCAAAGGGAAAGGGAGAGCCAATGTTCACATCAGCACTTGCAGACAATGAAAGAGCAATCCTGAAATGTATGTCAGTAGCTCAAATATGTGTCTAAAGGTTAGAAGTGATGGCAAGAAAGGGGCAGGGGGTCTGAAATAATGAGAAGTGAAACTGTTTAATATAGGACATTAGAATGCGGGAGAAAGAGAGAGAGAGAGAGAGAGAGAGAGAGAGAGAGAGAGAGAGAATGAATTTGATTTTTTGGTTTTTGTGAGTGAAGAAGACAGATGGGAAAATGAACAAAGGATGCCAAAGGGAAAGGAGAACCAGCACAAACAGAGCACAGGACTCAGGCAGAGACACGG